CCGATGTACCTGTATTTGTCAATAGTGATCCCAGGTATACGTATGACTTAACGACTTCATTTTGATTTGGATGGTTGATATGTTGCCTATATTAACGATTTGGATGGTTGATATGTTGCCTATCAACTATTTTTTGTTGATACTTAGTCTTAAACACTTTTGAATTTTCAAATTTTGATCATCTCATACACTGGTTAAAAGTCTGGTATTTAATTATAACTCTTAATTGATTATAACCATTTACAATTTTCCAAATTTTGTAAAATTTTAATTGATACGTTCCTTTTTTTGTGTTCTGCAATGTCCAATGTCCATGTAGGTTCTATTTAATGACGTATTTTTTTTTTAATTTTATGATGCTTGGTTGGATCTTTTAATATTTGTATATTTTTGGCGCCTTTGTTTGTTTTTTAAATGCTTTGTTGATGAAGCTATTTTGGCTTTTTGTACAATAAAGCGTTATTTATTATTATTATATAATAAAATTGATTTAAAGTACCCACGTATCGAGCAATGGATATAACAAAATCGGTTAAATACGTATGCAAAATCTCTACGCTGCGCTGACATCGACTGACCCCTGAATAATTTTTGCCCGAGCTCAGCAATAAATAATAAAAAACGACCGCATCTCAGTGCGGATGTTTACTCCGAAACGACACAAACAATAATATAATTCGAAGTTTGGAGGGCGCAGGAAATGTAATATGGAGCCATCTAGCGCAAGATAATGTCTATTAGGCTTGCACAGTATTCGAACAGCTGCGCCCTATCCGGCGAGCAGAGCGAAATGATTTACTGCGCTCTTGATTACAATTTGATGATTGTTCCGCCAGCTATTCTTCTCTGTTAAACGCTAAACTTTCGCGAGAGGCCCTACATTAGCCCAAACTTTAAATATTAAAAAAATACTTTCGATTTACGACCCTTTCAGACAGAGTCGCATTAAAGGCTTCCATTCTTGATCTGAAATTCTGTCGAAAATGTGACTATGGTGATAACAATCGGAAAAAAATACAGTGGGGAATAATGAGGAAGTTCGAAATCTAATGTTGATATTCACCTTTCAATGTTGTTAAAAAAACTGTAACAGATTATTATTCGTTTAGTGAAATTTGTGAAATTGAAAAAATCTTCTGAGTTGTTATTTTTAGATAATACAATTTCAGTAAAGGAAGTTATAACAAACAGATACCCTTACCCTATCAAGGGTAAGAGTATCTTTCAAAGTCCTGAACAAACAAAAACTTTAATATTTGTAAAATTACCGAGCTATTTAAAAGAGCAAAAAAAAATATTTTAAAACTATACAGAAAAATTTATCATAAGACTATAAGAGCCGTTAAGGACCTTTATTATAATAAGAGAATCGCCAATTCTGGTAATGTTGCTAAAGAAGTCTATTGTGAATGATTTGAGAAACAAAGCTTCTTCGTCTAGCAATATCTCTACCTCACCTGAGAACCTTAACGATTACTTTGTAAATGTAGCCAAAAATTTAACTAATACCATATGTCCTTCTCATGATCCACTTTCATATCTCTCTAATGATAATGTATACTTACACAGATTCTTTTTTTCGCTCGTAGTTTTAGAAGAGCTTCGCAGTACAATTAATACCATCAAAAATAAATTCTCATCTGGGACCGACGGACTAACTTTAAAAATGTTTTCGAATCTGCCAGAAAGCACTCTGAATCACCTAACTACATTAATAAACATGTCATTCCAAAATGGCATTTTTCCAAAATGTCTTAAGACGGCAATAATAATTCCTCTGCATAAAGGAGAAGACAAAGATCAAGCTTCTAACTATCACCCAATTGTACTCCTTCCAACGCTATCTAAGATCATAGAAAGGTTGGTTAAGAGAAGGCTGGTATCTTTTCTGTTTAAGTACAAAATACTTACTGAACATCAATTTGGATTTCTAAGCAACAAGTTCACAAATGACGCTATGTTTTCCCTCCTTAATATAGTTTACTCCAGCCTAAATAACCATCATTCTACAGCAACAATTTTCTGTGATTTTTCTAAGGCGTTCGACTGTGTAAATCATAAGTTCTTTGTTAATAAACTGCAGCACTATGGGTTCAGGGGAACATCTCTCGAATGGTTTAAGTCGTATCTGAGCAACGGAGGTCAACTTGTGAGGGTGGATACCACGTTGTCTTCTAGCAAGCCAATAGAATGTGGAGTACCACAAGGCTCTGTACTAGGCCCTATTTTGTTTCTTCTTTTTATTAACGACATTGCTAATATAAGTATCAGTGGTAAAATATGTCTTTTTGCGGACGACAATAGCTTCACTTGGAGCAACAAGGACGTCACGGCACTTCATAGGATTATATCGAATGACTTAATCACCATTAAATCTTGGTGCGATTTGAAGTGCGAGTCTCAACATTTCTAAAACTAGAGTTTGTCATATAAAAACTCGCTGCAGCCTTTTGTACTTAAACAAAACCACCATTAACATCGTAAAATCTGTAAAATTCTTAGGGCTTGTTGTAGACTGTGCTATCCGTAAGTATAGTAACACACAACGAGTCCAAAGTAACACAGGTATATTCACAAACAGTAATTAACAATAACTAGTATAATAACAGTAACAAGATCAATAATTAATAACAATCGTAAAATAGCGAACTATATCTGCCGCGATTCGCCCAGAGTGAGTCAACGTTGTTATTGTTTTTCACATCACCGGCTCGGCGTTGTTGCCGGTTCCCCCGGCGGGTTGCCACATTCCGTCCTTTCTTTTCAGCCTCATGGTTATCCTCCCCGGCGGGTCATGCTCCTGGGAATCGGATGGGACTGGAGTGGCTACTGACGTGGATGCTGTGGGTACAGACGCTTCTTGGGATGGGACTGTTTCTTGGTTACCTGCGGGGACCATCTCTGTAGGATTTGGAGCGACAATTTTCTTGACATGGGCGACATGCCTACGAATTGTTTTTCCATCACCGAAGAGTATCAATTCGTTTCCGTTCCTCTCAATGACGTCGTATTCAACTGAGTTAAACCTTGATGTTAACTTGTGGGGCCGTATTATGTTTTGAATGACCACTTTGTCTCCCGTCCGAATGTAATCTTGTTTCGCACCTCTGCTTTCATCTTCCCTTCTCTTCCCTTTTTCCTTATTCGCCAAATCTGCATCTTGTGCTTCCTCATCGATGTATTCCCCCATGATGTCAACAATCGATGGAATCTTATCACGGATTCTTCTTTGAAACAGAAGTTCTGATGGCGATTTGTCAGTTGTTCCGTGTGGTGTCACGTTATACATCATGATGAATTTCTGAATTTCCGCTTTGTAGTCTTGCTTATTGTTATGGCATATCTGGAGTCTTTTCAGGATCGACCTATTCATATTTTCAACCTCCCCGTTGGCTTGGGGCCAATATGGTGGAGTGTGTATTAGCTTTATGTTGTTCTGATCACAGTAGTCCTTGAATTCCTGGCTGACAAATTGCCTACCGTTATCGGCTCTTATGGACTTAGGTATTCCAAAACGGGAAAATAATTTATCAAGGCACCTTATTATGATAGCTGATGTCGTGCTTTTTAAGAATTGTATGTCCTGGTATCGTGAATAGTAATCAATAACTACTAATATCTGGTCCTGATTAGGCAAGGGCCCCATTAAATCGATAGCGAGACACTGCCAAGGCCCATCGGGAAAACGATGTCGCTCCATTGCTGGTGGTTTATTAGGTTGGCCCACTAATAAGCAGTCTCTGCATTGCCTTACAAAGTCCTCCACGTTTTTGTCGATACCTGGCCACCACACTTTGGATCTCAACCGCCTTTTCATCACACTGGCGCCTGGGTGCCCTTCATGAGCTAACTCCAACACTCTCTGTCGCAGTGATGTCGGTATTACAATTCGACTAGTCCGAAGTAGGATCGGTCCCACAGTCGAAAGTTCAAAACGGAATGCAAAATAGGGGTTTTTATCTTTATTTTTCCAGGATTCCTCGGTTGTGGTTTGCACTGCATAAGCCAAGTCAGCATCTTCAATGCTTTCACTTGAGATCTCTGTTACGGTCATTGCCTTGGGGGCGCCGTTTTCGACTATCCTCCAGATATGTAGATTGTTGTCTTTGTCGAATGTCTGGCCATTGACTGAAAGTTGACACAGCCGGGAAACGGAGTCGGCAATGTTCAATTTTCCACTTTGATAAATCACCTTAAATTTAAAAGACTGTAGTCTTAGAACCCAGCGCTCTATTCTTGCTGGTGGTTTAGACGACGGCTTGAAGATGGCTTCCAAGGGTTTATGATCAGTGACCAGTTCGAATTCGAGACCCATCAGGTAATAGTAGAACCTTTCCACTGCCCACACTAATGCAAGGCTCTCCTTTTCCGTTTGCGAGTACCGCCGTTCCGTGCTCGTCAATCCTTTGCTGGCAAAAGAGATCAGTTTCGGAACTTCCTGCTCAAATTGGATTAACACTGCCCCAAGAGCCACCGGACTAGCATCCGCAATTAAACGTGTTTTCCTCGACGGATCAAAGTAGCTCAGAACGGGAGGTTTGGACAAGGCTTGTTTTAATGAATCGAAGCTGCTTTGGTGATTTGGTGTCCAGCGAAATTCTGTATCTTTCTTGGTTAGTTGCCTCAACGGTTCAGTAATAGTCGCCAGGTCTGGAATAAACTTCCCCAAATAGGTGGCTAATCCTAAGAAACTCCGCATTTCTTCTTTCGATGATGGTGGTCGAAACTCCAATATCGATTTAACTTTTGCCTTATCCGCTTCGATTCCCTTGTGCGATAAATGATGCCCTAGAAAGTCAAGTTGTTGAACTCTCTTCATGCATTTGTTTTTATTTAGCAGCACATTTTTTGTTCAAAAACTTGTAAAACATCCTGCAAGCACTTGTCGTGTTCTTGTTCGGTAGCTCCATATACAATAATGTCATCGAGATAGTTAATACAGTTGGTACATCCGCTAAGCATATTTTCAAAAATCCTTTGAAATATTTCTGGTGCTGACGTTACCCCGAACAACAGCCTCTTGTACGAAACATCCCTCGATGCGTAATAAAAGTCGTTATTGGGCGACTCTCTGGGTCCAGCTCAATTTGATGGTAAGCCCATTCCAAATCCAACCGAGAGAAATAGTTGGCTTTAGCTAACTTAGTCATGATTGTATCAAAAGTTGGAAGGGGATAGTTTTCACGCAAGATTGCTTGATTGGCCCTACGCATATCAATGCAGATTCTAATATCTCCGTCAGCCTTAAAGGTGATGACAATGGGTGATATCCAGGGACTATGACCTTCTACTGGCTCGATTATGTCTCGTTGTAGTGCTTCTTCCAATTTCCGTTGGACTAGTGGTTCGATAGCTATCGGTACACGTCTAAGCGGTTGTTGGACTGGCTTTACTGACTGATCAATGGACAATTGGACTATTACGTTTCGAATTTTCGGAAAAGGTTGAATCTCTACAATTCTGTTTATATCTAGGCCTATTTTCAACACCCCAAGACGTTGAGCCGTTTCTTTCCCTAATATAGATATATCCCCTTGCTTCACAACTAGGAAAGAGGTAATAATTTCTTTCTTGTCCGGGGTCATGATGGTTGTCTCAAATTGCCGTTGAATTTCCAAGGGTTGTCCAACTGCGTAGGATTTCAAAGATGCTTTTACGTCGGATTCCACATTCCATACCACAGCTTCATTGGATTTTAAGTGCTTCCAGTCCGATCCATTGATGATATTGACTTTAGATCCGGAATCGATTAGCAAAGTCACGGGAACTCCACCAACACAGCATTCCATTAGTTCATCTCGCTGGTCAGTCCTTTCCTTTGCCACATTAAGCTTAAAACATTCATAGTTCTTATCCGAGTCTCTATCATTGTTGCCACTTTCTGGATCATCTGGGTTATCGACATATCTAACGCTGGACGAGAACCGCCCTCTCTTGTTGTACCGGGTATTCGCTGATCGTGGTTGGGGTCGCTTTTGTGACTTCGTGTGACATTTAATGGAAAAATGTCCAACCCGGTCGCATTTATAACACTTAGCTACTTTAGCCGGGCATCTTTCGAAATTAGAGTCATGCCGGACACTTCCACACCTGCCACATGACTTCATAGTAGCGTTTACGTTAATTTTATTAACTGATGACGATGTCGATGGCATTCCTACTGGGTACGCGTCCATAACGTTGGTTTGAGTTTTTATTTGCTCATGTATTTGACAAAGGTCGATAATTTCGGTGAGTGGTCGTTCCTTTTCCAATAGTTTCCTTTTTAGTTCTACTGGAGCCCAATCGTCGATCAATTTGTCCTTGATATTTATTTCTAAAGCCTCTTCACTTGTACTGCCGAAGATGCATTTAGAGGCTTGCTGTCTGACCCTTAGCAGAAATTTGTTAAGTGTTTCTCCTTTATCTGCTTTAATATTCCTAAACGTGTGTCTCTCAAACGTAGAATTTTGGATTGGAGAAAAATACTCTGTTAACTTGCCAACCAAAATATCAAAACTTTCTTCTTCGTCTACGACTGCCCCTGGTATACTGTAGGCTACTTCCTGTAGTTGGCTTCCCCCCAGATGTAAAAGCTTATTTCGTTTCCTGGTTTGGCCCGCAATAATTTCAGAGTCAAGATATAGCCGAAAGGATCGTATCCATTTTTGCCATTCATTTCTGATGTTTGCTTTATCAATTGTGTCGCATAAAAAGGGTTTTATTCCTGAAGAGTCTCCCATCATGCTACTCGGCGGTCTTTACCTGCAAGAGATAAATCTTTTTTTTTTTACCTATAGCTATGCTATGCAATATGTACTTATGCATCTTCCCCTCTTTCACTTTTTTTTTTTACCCAGCAACCATTCGGTTTATGACACTTGAACATCAGACACAAGCATTTCTTTTTTTTTTTTAACCATTGGGAAACAACGTTCTATTCTAAGGGATGCCGCAATATTCATGATGGAAAGTTTCCATTAAAAATTTATTATTATTATTATTATTTTTCCAATTTCCCTTATTTCTACCAAAATTAACACATTATAATTTCATATTATCTAATCTATTACTTTGATTTAGGGTCGCCACTGCTATTATTCTTTAAAACCATTTGGTGCATCTCCAGCACCTCTTTTGGTACTATCCTACCTATTTATTTTATCACGTAAAATACTGGTGATTTAATTTAGTTTATGTTATCAAAACAACAAGACCTACTTGCCAACTCTGTCACAATTTAATGCGATTTCCTTTTTATTTTTCACAATTTAATGCGAACACTTACGCAATTTAATGCAAATCTTGTCACAATTTAATGCGATCACCATTATAAAGCAATTAAATGCCCTTTCACAATTTAATGCGAACACTTACGCAATTTAATGCAAATATGTTGTCACAATCTAATGCGATCACCTTTATAAAGCAATTAAATGCCCTTTCACAATTTAATGCGAACACTTACGCAATTTAATGCAAATATGTTGTCACAATCTAATGCGATCACCTTTATAAAGCAATTAAATGCCCTTTATTTCACAATTTAATACAGTTTTAAGCAATTTAATGCAAACTTTCCATCATAATTTAATGCGATTTCCCTAAAATAGACGTCACTAAAAAACTGCTTGTTTTCTGTTATTTCTTGTTCAAAACTCATAATCCGTATTGTAATTACTGTTGTAATTATATTAACCGGCACACTTAAACGTATCAAAATTTAGTGTTCAATGTAAAAAAACCAGAGATTTGGTATTTACCTCCGTCGCCAATTGTGCTATCCGTAAGTATAGTAACACACAACGAGTCCAAAGTAACACAGGTATATTCACAAACAGTAATTAACAATAACTAGTATAATAACAGTAACAAGATCAATAATTAATAACAATCGTAAAATAGCGAACTATATCTGCCGCGATTCGCCCAGAGTGAGTCAACGTTGTTATTGTTTTTCACATCACCGGCTCGGCGTTGTTGCCGGCTCCCCCGGCGGGTTGCCACATAGACAATTCTCTAAAATGGGTCATGCATATCGACGCCGACGGTTTGTCGAAAAAATTGACCTCTGCCTGTTTTGCATTAAGTTCTGTTTCTAAGGAGCTTAACTTGTCAGTGGCTAGAACTGGTTATTATGCACTTTTATTTTTTATTCTTTGACATTGTAAATATTTATATAATTTATTTTGTGAAATATGGGAAGTAGGACTACTTACGATCACCCGCTTAAAAAAATAACACACTTTTGTTAGTTTTTCGAGTCGATGTGACAACAGTGGACGACGAACATGACGGGATCGAGATAATTTCCTATTTCTGCCGGCCGGCGCGGTGTTCTCAAAATGAGGCATTTTTTTTAATATTCCAAGTTAAATAATTCGCACATTTTTAATTTATTTTAAAAATGGTAAAGAAAAAATATGATTATTTCTAACAGATCTGCAAACGTTAAGAATTTTTGGTCGGTTAAGTAAATTTGTTTTACTAGTAAAACACCACGTGTAGTTTTTTCTTTTAAGAGTCGCTCTCAGGGGTCGGTCTCAAATTCCAAACACATGTGCTTTGATTAAGGCTTGATTAAGGTTTGCAGAACTTCAACATTTGCCATAAAATAGCGAGCAATTTGTAACAAAACCATATAAATTATATATCACTGTAATCAGAAAACTTCAATCTATTTCCGTATTGTAACTGAATTTTAAATTATTAAAATTTTACCATCAAACTAAAAATAAAGTTGTCTAAAAATGTGCTATAATACGGATATAGTATAATACTAGTCTCGTTAGGCTAGTGAAAGTCTATTTAGGCTAGTGAAATGGACTCTTAAGAATATGTAATATTTAAAAAATATATCTATACTAATATATAAAATCCTTAAGTGACTGACATACTGATTAATCACGACTCTGCTCAAACCACTCAACGTAAGAAGCTCAATTTTGGCATACAGGTTGATTCTAGGGTGTAAAGGTTCGATAAGAGGTGATTTTTCGAAATTCCAGTTCCAAGAGGGTGGAATTTACAATATTTTTTATTTGAAAAACAGTCAAGTTTCCGAAAAAACGCTTAAACACGCATATTTTATTTTGTTTTTTTACATATTTTAAGATTTTTTAAAAATGTATACAGGGTGTTTCGAAAAAACTGGTCGTTGATTAATCACGATCCTGCTTAAAGCGCTTGACGTAAAAAGCTGATTTTTGGAAAACAGATTGACATTAGGGTGTAGAGGTTCGATAAGAAGGGATTTGTCGAAACTCGAATTCTAAGGGGGTGAAACAATCCCTCAAATATTAAAATATTTTTTATTTAAAATCCGGCGAGTTTTTTGCAAAAACTCTTAAACACGTATATTTTATTTTTTTGTTTTACATATTTTAAGATTTTTTATAAATTTATAGAAGGTGTTTAAAACAAAATATTGATATTTTGGTAAAAATTTGAAACATCTTGTGGAGTACGTTAATAAATCAAGGAATTTAAAAAAAAATTATCATCTAGATGTATCTTTTCTTGATAGTTTGTTTTTTGATTCATCTCAATAGCTTTATTTTTTTTGGAGATAGCTTTTGAAGAAGACACTAACATTTTTTCGTATTTTTTACATTAAAACAATGCCTTTGTTTTTGGTTCTAGCCAAAATACCTATAAAATAGATAACAGCATGGTTCTGCTTTTGCGTTATTCTCGCATATTCCTTGTTATCCAGGACGTTTTATATGATAAATAGTAGTTGAGCGAAACCATTGAAACTATTTCGTAATATGGCCAAAAATGAAGCTGCAATCAACTTTAAAAAGGTATTTAAAAGAGTAGGAGTTTCTCTAGAATCAGTAGCAATCTAAAATGACATAAATAAAGTTATTTTGCGTATTTTTTTGTAGGTAGTAAGTATCAATTACTGTGAACTTATAAATATGCAGATTGTGAGTAACGTAGGGGGTGGCAACATTGCCGACTCTACAACTACATGCACTTTAAAGCTTATTTTTGACAAACGAATTTTTCGAAAGTCAAATTCCAACGAGATGAAACTACCTCTCAAATATTACCAAGTTATATAATAATATCGCCATATTGTTTTTTCTCATGCTGACATAAATGGGAGAACATTTTATCCAGTTTGTATGTTAATGGAAATTCTTGCTTTGCTTTATCATCACCATTACAAATGATTAATTCGACGCGAACGAAGTCGCTGGTACACGCTAGTAATTTTATAATCCTCTTACATGGTCGAAATACATATTTATCTTTCCTGTAAAAGAATTTGAAAGAATAACTTTTATCCAGCTTCTCGAACGAAACAGAACGAAACGGCGCAACAAAAAACGCGGAATAAAAATAAATCAAAAATGATTTAAATCGAATCATTATTCTTACTTACTTTTTCTCGATTTCAATTTTCGCAAGGAGGACAACTTCAAGCGCACTACAATACAAAACCGTACATTCTTTACAAAACAAATTTAACTTTCTGCGTCATTTACCGTGAAATACACTAAACATGTCCCATATTCGTTTTTATTTTCCATCAAACTTTTCACACTTTTCGTCTATCGGGTTGACAATAAAACGAAATACCTAATGTCTGAGTCGATTAGGATGGTGCGTTTTGTGTTAATAAAAACGATCAGCCAAAAACATTTGAGTGCTTTCGAAGAACATTTTTATTTTTGTTAAAGAAAAAAATTGGTTTATAAGACATCTTCGTAAAATAACATTCTGCTCATTTTCTAAAATTGGTTATTATGTACTGTTCCGTTTATATTTGTTTCTTGCAATTTTTATAAGGCTGTACTTAAACTGCCATTAAACGGTAGCTTACTAAAATGCCGTTAACAGGTATGACTTCGTTGATGTGACGCACTAGAAGGCTTTATGAAATATAGGAATTTTATAAGGACTAACCAACGCTATCCACCCCACCAAATAACCAACTTAACCAACGCAACTAATCTCGACACTGATAAAAAAATATAAAAACAAATATAAATTAGTAAAAAACTAACCAACCCCACCAAATAACCAACTGACCAATGAATTAACATCCTCCAAATAACCACGCTAACCAACCCGCCAAATAACTAAACCAATCCAACCAAAAAGAGTGAAACCAATGCAATGAGATCAAGCTATAAGCAAAAAAAACCTAAAAAAGTCTTGGTCGGCGTAAGATTTGAACCACGGACCATTCGCTCACGAAGCGACAGCCTCAGCCACGCAGCCACAGGTGCTCTTGCAAGATGCTTATAGCTAGGCATTACTTTCCGCCTACATGAACGACGTCACAATATCTATTAACGGCGTTTTAGTAGGCTACCGTTTAACGGCTGTTTCATTTAGGGAATATTTCATACAGGGTCTAGCAATAGTGCGTTGGGCATCTGTAGCTTCTAGAATAAAAAATTTGGGAATTTTGTTTAAATGCAAACCTGAAGTATGTACCAGGATGTATTTCAGGAAAATATTTTAGCTTCTATATAGTGGCTCAAAAAAGTGTGAGTGGATCGGGATGATTTTTTTTAAATGGAACACCCTGTACATGATTTGTTAATAGATGGAGAAATGGACATTGAATGGAATGGACATTTTTTGTATTTTAGAGTTTTTAACGGTTTCGCAGATATTTGAATTTTTTAACATTGAAAATGTTTCTGTTATCCTATATAAGGGAGCCCAAATCGAATTAAAATGTTACATTTGCCACACCATGACGTCATATATACAAGGGTAT